ATAGTCTATCTACTTGTATCTTCTATTATATTATTATATATCTATTAACTATTACTAAAACAAAACATGCTGGCATCATTAAGGGACACATGTCAGCTTCTCATGAAAAAATTTCCTGCCTAAACTATTTTTGACATCATTTTTTTTTCTCTATTTATTTCCTTCTAAGTTTCAAGACTAAAAAAAAATACAATACTTCTTTCAAAATTAATTAATGAGATTATGATTACACTTTTTTCTAAAGAATATTGACAACCATTTTAAACAAATAATAGCTATTTAATTCGTGCAACGCACGGGACTAAACTAGTCTATTAACTATTACAAAAACAAAACATGCTGACATCATTAAGGGACACATGTCAACTTCTCATGAAAAAATTTCCCGCCTAAACTATTTTTGACATCATTTTTTTTTATTTTTTTATTTCCTTCTAAGTTTCAAGACTAAAAAATAAATACAATACTTCTTTCAAAATTAATTAATGAGATTATGATTACACTTTTTTCTAATAAAGAATATTGGCAACCATTTTAAACAAATAATAGCTATTTAATCCGTGCAACGCACCGAACTAAACTAGTACTAAAACAAAGGGCGCCTAGATGGCAAAATGACACATGTCACTATGTCAATTAATACTTTCCCACCCATTTACGAACTCTTAAATAAATAAATTTTTATAATATCTTTTAATTAATATTGCAATATTCCATTTTATTATTGATTTTTATCTTAGAATAATATTTTCACATCTTTTGACTCATTTCGTTAAGCATGTTTATGTCTAACTAGATTAGTGTCCGTGCGATGCACGGTAGTAATAATTTTTTTTTTACACAAGTAATAATAATCTTTTTCCCATAATTAATTGTGATATAATATAATATAAAAGTGAGGCAACTCATATGGAATAAACAAATGCTATGCATATAGAAAAATAATAATAATAAGGAAAAAGTTAAAAAAAAATAACAATTGAGAAAAAAATAATTATTGTTGATTAATTGTGTTGCAAATATTTAAAAGTAGTATACATTATATTACATTAATGATGCATATTATTCTCAATAAAACTATACAATCTAGTGACTACTATATGACTAAAGACTTATTTATAAATTCCCTTTAATAAACATGAAAATATTAATTAAACAACAGAATAAAATCTACAATAAAACTATTAGCACAACATATATGTAAATATATAAATTATAAATAATATATCACCTTTATATCCAATAAAATAATTTCAATAGAAATAAATACTACTCGGACCATTAAAGGCAATAATAATCCACAATTAGGCAACACTAACCTATATTATTAATAGTACATTTGCTGTTTCTTAATTGATGCTCTACATGATATCGTCACTCTTTGTTATTATATAAAATTGTGTTTGAAGCTATCCAATAATTATTGTTTTTTTATTGCCTTAAAAATTTATTTGTAGGTAATAGATGTTTATTGGAAAAAAAAATAAAGGATAAACAAGAAGATGTCACTTGTCACTACGTCTGACGTGCCTTTTACTATGCAACTTATTTATAATGTCGAATGTAATAAATTTATTATATCAATCAAATATTTCACCAAAAGAGAATAATTTTTTTTGTATTTACTAAGATATTAATTTATTTAATTATGTAATAACAAAAATTTGATTGATATTTTACATTTTCCTAGAATTAGACATATGATATTGTTGTCGAACACAACATTTATTTCATAGTCATATCTAATACTCCATTAGTCTAAAAAAACAAAACATTAGAGGCCGTATTTGAAAAGAAAAAAAAACAAAGTGATATTTTAAAGTAATTTCTTTAATATCAATTACATGAATCAATTTCATTATTACTTTTTGGGCAAAATTCAATAATACTCCGTTAAAAGATGTCCAGGCGGTAACGATTGTATCTTATATCTGAACTAGTGACTCACTTTTTCTATAATTTAAAAAGAGTTGGAATAATATTTTAGGTAAATGTGTATAAAATAATTAAGAACACGAAATAAAAAGAGATACATTTTATGTAAAGATAATATATATGATTTGGAATAATATTATTATAGTTGTATTATACAAATATTCTAAAAATAAGTTTTTTGCCAAAAGGGAAGGGAGAGTTTTGGAGGGAAAAAACAATACCAGGAAGTGACACGTGTCATTCCTAGTGTCTGTTTTATTATTATGTTATGTTATTGATTAAAAAAATCTACGACTTTTTATTATTTCTTTTTTTTATTTTATTTAATCATTTTTGTCAAATCTTCAAATATGATGATATATAAAGTATTTTTTAAAATATTATCTTTTCATTTTGGCAATTACGTTTAATCCATATAACAATCAAATAGAATTTTTTTTTTACATATTTTTTTATATGTTAGATAATTTTTAAAATAGTACCAACATATACGAAGTACTATGTATGAGATACTAATCACCCTTTCTATTCATTATTCTATTTTCATTTTTTTTTTTATCAGCCTTTCCTATTAAAAATATGACAATAATTCTCATATAACTCTTTTATGCCCACCATGGAAATTATCTCAATTAATTCTCTCTCCCTTGCTCAAAAGGACTCACAATATGCACTTTTTACTTTCCAGACTAGTAATAGAAAATAGAAAAAAGAAACGGAGAGAGCATATTACTCCATAAAATAATATTATAACACAATTTTTTTATGTGACTGGCCATACCATGTGGCCTATCATTATGGGGGCTACTTCGTTAATGTTGTAAGGGTTACGTAGTCAGTGTTACAGGGGTTACTTCGTTACCGTAATAGGGGTTACCCAACCAGTTTTAAAAATCGTGCAAAGTCAAAATGGGACTATCAAATTGGATTGGAGGGAGTATTTTTTTTTAAAACAAATGTTTTTTTTTTTTTTGTTGTATTTAATTGGTTCAAAGGATATCATTATTTGCATAAGGTAATATTGAAGCTTCCCCGTCAAATAAAAAATACTGAAGAGGTTTTTTTTTTTTTTTTTTTAATATTTTTAATAAGAGTCTTGATTTAAAATTATATGCTAAATGAAATTGAACGTATATATTCAAATACAAGGGAAATAAAGTAGCTCTACTTTACTATTGGAAGAAAATCATGTCATCAATGATACTATATATATTCATTGGTTTAAAATTATATGCTAAATAAAATTGAATGTATATATTCAAATAAAAGTGAGAGTAGCTCTGTTTTACCCTTGCAAGAAAATCCATATATTTATTAAATAATATTTAGTTGGAGATGGTAAGTTAGGGGAGCCAAATTATGGTGAAGGAATCATAGTAATCAATGATCGATGAAAGAGTAATGTTGAAAGCATCTAATTTAGATAGTTGAAGCTTTCATTGAAAGTACTTATCCTTCTATTTTGGCTTATTTATGGGATGCAAAATACTTTCAAGAAAGAGCAATTTTAGCCCCAATTCAAGATATTGTAGGTATTATATATCAATACTTACTATCAAATGATGCAAAAATATATTTGAGTTCTAATAGTATATATATGTAAGGCAAATGCAACCATGGAGACTAATATCATTAATAAAGATCATATACGTTATTCATATCTTTGTTTCTATGTATTTTTAAAACATTGAATTGCAAATATGATAATGAGGATTGGGATAAATGAGTACACATTAAGCTAACTATGTCTTTCACTATTGTGCATTAAGCAAATTATAACAAAATTTTGTGAGATTTAATATTTGAACTTATAAAACCGTGCAATTACACGGGTTCTATACTAGTTATTCTTAAAAGAGGAAAAAAATGGGCATTGTCTTGATTCCAAAGAGAAGTAGGATAGTGTGGAGACACTAGATCATTTAAGGCCCATAAGTATTCAATGCATCACTAAGAGGCTTCACTAAGTGATCCAAGTACTTGTAGAGCTTTTAAGGTCTTTCAAACTGGCTTCGTTCATCTCCTATGCAAGACAGCAAGATAACGTCTTCCTAGCCCAATAAAGTCGTCATAATAGTTGATATGAGCAAATCTTATGATTGTGTTCAATTGGATTGCCTTGTCCGCATCTAATTAAATTGACTTTTCTTAGTTATTTTTGCAATTTGATTATAAAGTGCTAAAAATTATTTTAACATCCTTGAAATAAAAATTTGATTATGGAGAACATGTTGTGTACAACTTAATTTTGCAATTTATTTATTTCAAGGAATATAAGTGCATATATAAGTAATAAATTTAGATTAGTTAAGTTTACTAGAATAAGTTCCTATAAGATTTGCTCATCAAGTTTATTTTACAAAAGCAATATAACCAAAACCTTAAGCTGATGGTTAAAACCCAGGAATATGTTTTATATTCAATCAATAATTTTTAATAATATGTTTAGATGAATTTGATAAAATTTACATAAGTTTAAATAATCTCAGCAAATCAGATTAATAGAACACACAATGAGTCATCCTTTTACACAATAAATCTCTTTCAATATGATCTCATATACGTCATGAACGTGTTGAGGAGCTAATAAATAACAACTAAAGGTGAAAAAAGTTTGTATAAACTAAAATTTTCAGGATTCATTTTATCTATTAATAAATGGACTACAAGCATAATTTTACGTAATTTTTTGCAAAGAAAGAAACTCATAAAATCAACCTCTTACTTACTCCCCCTTACCCCTAGAATTAACCACGTAGTCTTGAAGTTTACATACAACAAATTAAAACAAAGTCTATAGACCCAACAAAATGTAATAGAGGAGTGTGATTGGTAGCGCGATTAGCATCCCAAATATGACGCTGCAAAGAATTTAGATAATAATTAATCAAACATTAGATAGCTAATTAAGAAAATTTGAGCATAAAGATAGAGATGCTTATAATTACCCTGTGCTAAGAATATCAGGATGAACATTGTACTCCTTGGCGAATACAAAGGGAACTATTCCTTGTGGGAGTGCTGCCTGTATTTTGTTCCACATATATTAAACCAAAAAAGATATGAGATTTACATTCAACAACAAGCCTTTTTTTTACTTGGATTAGAAGATGAGTCGATTTTGATAGAGTACGATGTACGAATAACATAGGAGAATATAAGAGATATCACTAAAATGGATTTAAAAGTTATTTCACCCGGCACCAATTATATTGGTTTAGAGATAAAAAGTTCGCTTAGGTTTTTAAGTTGTTCGAACTCAAGTTTTAGCCTCTTACTTGGATAACATATACATGCTCAACATAACAACTTATACAAGGGTAGTCTATTTTAATGGCATTAACGAATCATGTATGTAATTGAGACGAATATTAAAATGAAAAAATTGTAACTTTTCCCTCCGTCCCAATTGAGTTACCTCACTTATTATGACACGTGGTAACTTTTTGATACGAATGTGAATTGGTTAAGCTCACTTATTAATATATATAAATGAGATACAGAATATTACCTCCGTTTTTTTTAGTTGACACATTTTGACTTTAGCACTATTCATTCACTCCCATTTGACTGTGTTTTGTGCTTTATACCTAATGAAAAATATAGTCATGTGAGATCTTGTTAGATTCGTCATGAAATATATTTTCAAAATATCAACTTTTTATAATTTGTTTATCGATAATTAAAGATATTAATGGTTGAAGTTGTGCATTGGCAAACGTGACTAAAGAAACGTGTCAACTAAAAAGAAACTGAGGAAGTATAAGATACATATTGAAGTGAATTAATTTTGTTACTTCTGTATTTAACCTAATTTTTGGGAGTGAGAAGAGGGATGTTTGATAGAAATCTAAGTTCATATTTAAATAAAATTGATTACTACGGAGTTAATTTAATTTCAAGGTACATACCCTAAACAAAAGTAAGGATAATGTACTTTCTAAAAACAAAAATAAGAGGATAATAATAAAGTGATGTAAAAAGGTTGATTAAAAACAAAACAAAATGGAGTGGGATAAGAGTGAGAAGTGACCTGGACGATGGCAACGTGTAAAAGAACGCCGCGAAGGCCAACAACAATGGAAGCAGCAGCCATGACAGCTGGTCCTGTTAGGAATCTTACTGCCATTGAAAATGTTGCTACCGAATTTCCACATGCTATTATCCTTGGTTGCAATGCCATGAACAATCCTGTTTTTCATCCCCCATTTTTAATCACCAACTAAATAAATATCTTAATTTTTATTTTATTAATCAAAACTGGTCTATTCTAAGAATATGCATATTCTATAGTTATGAAAATTCATGTAATGCAATACTGATTTTGATCGAATTTAATTTTCACATATAAATTTAATTGATTCATACTGTACTTGGTATGAGCGAGTATTAATTAGTTTCAAACAAATGTACTCAATTCAAACATACACTTCTTTTAAATGCTTTGAGGTATAGACAATAAGTAATTACTTTACTAAACTAGCACTTCTCACAGACTATTTAGATCAAAAAGAGAAGATTAAGGAATCTCATACTCTCGAAAATAAATAAATTAAATAGTGGAGCTCGAACTTTTAACTTCTAACCTTCACATGTTTGGTTCATGACATTATGTCAATTAAGGGATAACGTACGAAACCAATACATACGACATACAAATGTATAATTTGTGTATATGAAAAAAAAATGGAAAAAAAAAAAATCTACATAACACTTGCTCTTCATTTAATTAAGTTCTTTTTATTTATTTCCTTATATCATGCATTTTCTAGATAAGTAGATATAAAATGTACTCTAAGATTTCCAAAGTATGATGATGCCCAATTACATGATTCCAACAAGTATAGGGATAATATTCTAAAATGAAAAGGCCCACGGTAAGACATGATTACAAGCACTAGGAAAAATTATATTGATGACATGCACTTGCATTAAGATCAGTTGGCTAATACTTGCTGGTTAATAACTTTTGATAATAAAAGTAAAGAGAAAAAGAGAAGAGCGCATGTCTCCTGATCTGAAAAGCATAAAGTAGAGAAACACAAAGACAGATTAAGAAATGTTGTGACTGACCTAGGCTGAACATGGCCATGCCAAGCCCTGCATCCGACAATATCGATATCGACTTTGCTATTATGGCCGGCATCTCTACGTGATACCTATATCACACCACCATATACACACATATAACAAATCCACATACGTGTTTGACCGATTAACGTTACATAACGTGATAGACATACAGTAATAAATGACGATAACAGTAATGAATTTACATTAAAAGGCCATTACTTTTGTTCATGTAAAAACCTGTGCATGACCTATATATGCACTTATCCACAACAATAAGTTCATGATTGAAAGTGAAATTCTAATTGCCGCTTTAAAAGGTAACATTTCATAGTTAACTTTAAGTAATAACGCATGTTTGACAGGCAGTAATAAATAACGATAACAGTAATGGATTACAAGCACGAGGTCATAACGACTTTTGTTCATATAAGTATATAACAACCATGATCCGCGTGTGACTAGAAACAAGCAAGTATCTTGATCCAAACACTTATATCCAAGGCAATAAATTCATGATGCAAATTAAAGTGAGGTTCCAAATAATATTTAATAGTACGAGTAAAAGAAAAAGGTACCTGAAGGAGACCAAAGACCAAGTAAGACCAATTAAACTTGAATAAGTGTTGGGATTTCTAATAAGTTTCCTCCAAACCATGATGAGTATGAGTCTTGTCATAACACTAGCTGGTGGTAAAGTTTTGGGCTTTCCATCATCCACTTTCGCATGCTCTTTCATTTCTCCTTCTTTTCCTCTATTTCCAAAGCTGAATTCATCTCCATTCATGTATTCTTCTTGATTATTATCTCTTCCACCCTCCACTATATGAGCCCAATATATTAAACTAATTAATTAATATTTTGTACAAATTAAAATAGTAGTACAAAATGACAATAGTAATACAGTATACGATAGATGAAACGAAATTTATGTTAACACGGGTTTTAAAGACAAGAATAAACGTTTAAACACGTCAATTACAAAGTACCTTAAAATATTCATATTACAACAAATAATTGTACATGTCCAACGGTTATACGAGTATTAAACATTTACAGATTTGTATCTTTAATTACTTTTAATATCATTGTAGGTATACAATGAGAGCATACCTAGCTACCTTAAAAATATACAAACAAATCCTCAAAATAAAAAGATTAATTAAGACCTACTGTGTATTTATTAATTATTGACAATACTTTATACGAAGTACTTTTTTTTAAAACAAAAATACTTGATATATTATGTGTAGAATTAACTTTTAGAAGTCAAAACACTTTTCCAATGAGTACTCTTTACTCAAAATAAACATCCATGTAAAAACTAGTTCCAATGATAGCTAAAGTAAAAAAGAATTGAATGTTAATTTGCTACGCCAAATACTTTTGATAATTAAAGTTCTATTTTCATTTCAACAATGAATAAAAATTGTCTTTATATTATAATTGCACTAGTCATTCATACCATATCATTATTCCCACCTCATAAAACTCCATTTTCCAAATTATCTTTTTATTTTTACTTGCAATATTTTGGAGTGAGTATCATTTACAAGATTCAAAAAATGCATGCGACATTGAAGAATCCAATGAAAGATGGGTCAATATATTGGGTAGGGACACCATCGGAGTGGCAACATTATCTTACAAGTGATAAGCAAAAAAAAAAATTTAATCTCCGAAAGAAATATCTAATCAAGGTACGTAGTGAAAATAAAATCGGTGACAGTAAAAGTGAAAACAAAAATTATTAAATACTTTCTCTATCCGAAATTAATAGTTACATTAAGACATCAAAATTCAAACTAATAACGTGACAATGAAACACGAAAAAAGGGAGCGAGTATGTAATAAGTACGTACCTTTACTAGGAGACACATTCATCCGAACTTCCTTAATAGACTGATCAGCTGCAACACCATAGTGATCATGCCCATCAAATACATCCGATACAGGGGAATTACCAGCACTCCATACGAACATATGAAGATCCTTCCCCGCTTCATCTCCACCCTTAGCCTTCTTCGCGGCCGCGTTACTATTATTATTAGTTGTAGTCGTGGTCGTACTCGTATTCGTAATACTATTGGTTTTTGCAATTCCAGTACTACTATTATCCTTCTTAGTGGGAGAAAACATCCCTGGATTAGGCGCAGGATATTGTGCATACTTCGGCTGCTGAGGCCTATTACTATTACCCCCACTATCTTCCTCGAAATTAGAAGGTCTCGGTGTGGGACCTCTAGAAGTGGTCAAACCTAACTCATAAACATCTCCTGCACCAAAGTTTGACCTCCTTCCACCACCACCAGTCATCGAGTAGAAATCGGTGTGATTAAAACTCGACCCTCGCGGTGTCGGGTTCCTAGACGATTGTAGGGAGTAAATTTCGGCATTGGTTAAGTTCGACGGCCTAGGAGTAGTCGAAGAAAACCCGTGTGACCTTCTAGAGAAAATATCGGACCGTGACGCATTAGACCTGCGCACGGTCACGTGTAATTTTCCATCTTCTTTGATTTCAGCTTCGGTTTCGAGCACCTGCCGCCCGTCTAATGAGACGACATCGGAGTCGACATGGATCGACACGATGGAGGCGGCAGAGTCCGGAAACTGTTCGGATATGAGCATCCTAGCTGCTCGATATTCGAACATGAACAACATTAACGTGTACCAAATGATACATTGTAGTACAACAATTTGTACCATTAGACTACCCGAGAAATCCCCGTACATTCCTTTTAATAAAGGGATACCCATAACAAGTGTGTTCGGAAGTGTCGATAGTGAAAATAACGTGATCGTCCACTCGAGTGAACCGCGCTTGCTTACCCTACTCCAGATCGCAAGCGCGGTTAGGACGATCACTTTTTGAAGAGTATCCGCGGCGATGAACCTAAAGTTCATCGCGTACGGGTTATTACTCGAAATGAAATGGAACGAAAGAAGTGGAACCGCAAATAACGCTACAAATCTATTAATACCCGAACATTGATCGGGACTAAAGATTTTCCACCACTTAACCGAACCATAAGCTAGGATCATAGCCACGTAAAGCGGCACCATGGCCGTCATTACATGGTAGAAATCCAATAGAGTGATCATCGTCGTGTATTTTAATTTTCAACACCAGGAAAATTCTCAATGGTACCCTTTATCATCGCAGTTAGTTAGCTGGAGCTAACATAACAAGATATAGATAAATGGATGAATAATAATAATAATGAGTAATGAGAAATAATGATAATAGTGGTGGTGGAGATGATGATGAAGAAGGTATTGGGAAAGGTGAATTGGGAAATGGAAGGGGGAGCTGAGCATGTGGGGGTTTGGGTAAATGGGATAGATGGGTGGGAGGAATTCAGAGTATCGGTTTTTGGCGTGGTATTCTTTTGAGTAATAATATACAAGTACAATTTAGGACTACACAAAAATAATAGCTTAGTGTGTGTATGTTTGTGTGCTTTCAGAGTTGCGCGACTGCCAAAGCCTTGCACTTGCTACCCACCAAGAGGTTGTACTTTGGGAGTGAGAGTTGGTGTATATTTTAATCCCAACTTTTATTCTTTCTTGTTTAATTTATTCTTTTTGTGTCATATACTTTTTCTGTTCTTTTTTAATTGCAATAGTTTAGGTAGGTTAGGATTGTGTTTTCTCAGCGTGTGCATAGTTGAAGTTCAACAATACTTTTATAGTCATTGCGCCCTCTCATGTGAGAGCCATTTTAGGTTGAAATGTTAATGCATGTAATATAAATTAAACCTGGTCAAGGGATTATTGAGTTAAATCCATGAATTTCCTGTCACACTGACTCTAACTCTAATATCATGTCAAATAACCTAAACAATTAAAAGTCCTAATTTGATAAAGTATTATTAATTTATGTTTAATCTTTAATATACTACATTTACATATAGAAAATTGTATAATGATACTCTCTCCGTCCCTTTTTATTCTTCCCATTTTTAATTTTGAAATTGTTCATAAGGTCATGGAATTTTCTAATAAGCTATAATATAGTCATGTCGAATCTTATTTGATTCGTCTTAATAAATAGTTTATTAATATTTAATTGTTATATTTTTTTACTAATAAACTACTAACGATATTTATGGCAAAAATTTTACTTTGATAAACGTACACGGTTAAAGTGGGAATCACATTTAAGGAGTAGAATTTTCCTTAGTTTTTTCAATTTAAAGGTGATGAGGCTCAGACTGCCTCACAAATTTCTATAAAGTTATTCGGTTATTGACAAAATATATTTACATGGTTTTATTGCAATTAAACTTTATTTAACCATTTCTATTATTGCAATTAAGCTTTATTTAACCATTTCTATGTATACTTCCCAATGTAAATGTAATGCAACTCTCTATAAATGACCAAACGACCACTTGTTTTGTGTACAACAAAACAATATGTAAAATTAAACTAAAGTACAAAACAGAAAGTGTATCTACTTTCTACAATGAGGGTGATCGAGAGTAAAAGGTAATGTCCAACTTTGATCAATAGAATTAGTAGATATAAATTAATGTTTATTTTTTTAAAAAAAGGGGGGGAAGGGGGAAATGATCAATTATAGTAGAACTTGCCGCTTTACAATAGTTTACATTCATAGAATAATCTAATACTTGTATGATTTTAAACGAGAATCAATAACATAATACTAAAACAGACACTAGGAATGACACGTGTCACTTTCTGGTGCTGTTTTTTCCCTTCAAAACTCTCCCCTTCTTTTTTTAGAAAAAATCTTTATTTTTAGAATATTTGTATAATACAATTATAATAATATATTATTTAATTTTATATATTATCTTTATAATGATTGTATTCCTTTTTATTTCATGTTCTATTTACTTAAAACAGTTATACAACATTTTGAGATCTTTTCATTAAGGGAGAATAAACTATAATTTAAAAGGTTGATATATATGGTGGAGAATATAAAATAATGGAGCCAAAAATACAATATTAACATTTATATTACCATTATATAGTTCTACAATAGTGGATGATAAAAAATAAATAAAAATTTTATTCATGACTTTGATTTGAAATCTTATGAAATAATAATAATAAAGTTATATTTCTATTAAATGTTTCTGTAATAATTTTACCAACTTATAACTTTTTTCCTTCAAAAAATCTATTAACTAATAACTATTACTAAAATAGGTTATGCTTACATCGATAATTTTGGACATATATCGCTATCATTAAAAAAAATTCCGCCAATACAATATATGATGTCAACTTTAAGGGGTTTTTTTTTTTACTTAGCTTATTTTTTGGAAGTACATTGTATAGTTTTTTTTTTTAATCAAATTAATTCATTAATAAAAAGTCATACGACATATAGTTTTATTGGAAATAACATACATCATTAATGTAATATAATGTATACTATTTTAAAAATATTTTCAACTAACTAATCAAAACTAATTTTTATTTTTTTTTTCTCAATTGTAATTTCCCTTTTAATATTTTTTGCCTTATCATTTCATCTTTCATATACACATTGCATTTGTTTATTCTACATGAGTTGCTTCATTTTTATATTTTATTATAAATTAATAATGGGAAAAAAAATTATTACTACCGTGCATCGCACGGACACTAATCTAGTAAATTAAATTTTGCAGAGTAAATATTTAAATTTAGATGAGGTGAATATCTGAAAATAAAAGCTCTATTTTTCTGAGCATATAGTTGTAATAGATGAGTTATGTAGAGATATTATGAAGTACTTCGTATTAGTTAAAGTTGAATACGAAGTATAATATAAAGATAATGATACTATTTTATTTTTAGTGAAGCGGAATTATATGAAGTTTTATTGATTAAAAGTGAAATGGAATTTATCTAACTTAGGAATGAGACTCTTATTCAAAAATAGAAGTTAGGGTTTGTTCTCTTCAACTTAATTTCAGTTCAGTTCAGTTCAGCTCCAATCAGTTCAGTTCAGTTTAGTTCAGTTCATTTCATTTTAGTTCAGTTCAGTTCCTAATTTCCTTCTCGCATAAACAATTCATTTCAGTTCAGTTTAATTTAGTTCAGCTCCAATCAATTCAGTTCAACTCAATTCAATAAATCAGAACAGGCTCTTAAAATATACTTCACTATATATGCTACGTGGGCTATGATTTTCTATTTTGGGGCCTATTTCGTTTTATATTTTAGGTGTACTATGTAAACTTCTTTAGGGATGAACCTAGCTAGCTACTAGTATTATGTACGTTACTTTCCTCAAGCTCAGTTCAAACTCTTCTCTCACCTATCCTTGGACGCAACTAATTAACTGAATGTTAGTGAACTATATAAATAATTTTTTTTTTTTATTTGTTAATTTCTATGATCTTTCTAGTTACTCCCTGTTGGCAGATAATTAAGAAACATAAAAAAAAAAATGGTTATTAAATAACCATGCATTACCATTGAAAATTAAAGGTGTTTCCTAATATAGGGAAAAATAACTAATGGTAATAAATATTGCAGGCTAAATTTTAAATGGCTTAGGTTGTTTTAAGAAAACTATAAATTGAGCATTTCCTTCATTTGTATGTAATAATTTCAAGAGAAAATCTGAGAGAAGAAAAATAACTCAGAGAAAAGAGGGGTTGTGTTTTTTGCACTTTGGTATAAATAGACATTTTGTTTATGTAATTTATTTCTCCCTCAAATTTGATTAAATAGAAAATTTGCATTATTTTCTTAACAATTGGTATCAGAGCTTGGTTGACAATTAGTCCACATTACGATAAAAATAAAAACGATCCTAAAAGAAAAAGTCAAATTTGAGTGGGAGAAATGGCTGCAGACAAAGGAGAAGTTAAACTTGAAAAATTCGATGGTAAAGATTTCGGATTTTGGAAAATGCAGATTGAAGATTATTTATACCAGAAAAAACTCTATCAACCTCTGGAAGAGAAAAAGCCAGATGGCATGCAAGAAGCAGAATGGAAGTTTTTAGATAGACAAGCACTCGGAGTTATTCGATTGACGTTATCACGCAATGTAGCGTTTAACATTGCAAAGGAAACCACAACGGCAGGTCTCATGAAAGCTCTCTCTAATATGTATGAGAAGCCATCAGCCTCCAATAAAGTTCATTTGATGAGGCGGTTGTTTAGTTTGAGGATGTCGGAAGGTGGATCGGTAGCTCAACACCTTAATGAACTCAATTCTGTCACAACCCAATTGAGTTCTGTTGAAATCAAATTTGATGATGAAGTATTAGCGTTAATACTTTTATCTTCCCTGCCAGATAGTTGGAATGCTACAGTCACAGCTGTGAGTAGCTCATCGGGAAATAACAAGTTGAAGTTTGATGACGTTCGTGATCTGGTTCTTAGTGAGGAGATTCGACGAAGAGAATCAGGTGAATCTTCATCCTCTTTAGTATTGCATACAGAGTCAAGAGGAAGAAATTTAATCAGAAGGAATGAACGCGGAAGATCAAACTATCGAGGACAATCCAGAGATAGGAGGTCAAAATCCAGGAATCCAAATAATTTCCAAAACTCAAAGACTGTGGAGTGTTGGAATTGTGGAAAGATTGGGCACTATAAAAATCAGTGCAAGGGAACACCAAAAGGCAAAGAAGTGAAGGCAGAGGCAAATGTCACTTCTACCGGAGAAGGTGATGATGCGTTGATATGCTCATTGGAGAGCAAAGAAGAGTCTTGGGTATTAGACTCTAGAGCATCGTTCCATGCTACTTCTAATAAAAACTTTTTTGAGAAGTATGTCCATAGAAACCTTGGACAGGTACACCTTGGTGATGACCAACCTTGTGATATTGTTGGTCAAGATAATGTCAAAATTAAGTTAAATGGGTCAGCTTGGGAGCTGAAGGATGTCAAACATGTTCCCGACCTAAGAAAGAACTTGATCTCAGTTGGGCAGTTGGCTCGTGAAGGTTACACTATAATCTTTCAAGGTGATAATTGGAAGATTTCAAAGGGAGCAATGATAGTTGCTCATGGTAAAAAGAATGGTACTCTCTATTTGACAGCTGGAGCGTGTTATTCGATTGCAGTTGCAACAGAGAATGAAAATTCCAAGTTATGGCACCAAAGACTTGGTCACATGAGTGAGAAAGGAATGAAGATCATGCATTCAATTGGAAAACTCCCTAGTCTAAAATCTGTGAATTTAGACATGTGTGAAGAATGCATACTTGGAAAGCAGAAGAGGGTAAGCTTTCAGACATATGGAAGAACTCCAATGAAAGAAAAATTGGAGCTTGTTCATTCTGATGTGTGGGGACCAACAACCACCCAGTCTATAGGTGGAAAACAGTACTTTGTGACTTTTATTGATGATCACTCTAGGAAAGTATGGGTTTACTTTCTAAAATACAAGTCCGAAGTGTTTGAAGTTTTCAGGATATGGAAAGCTAGGGTTGAAAATGAAACAGGTCTGAAGATCAAAAGATTCAGGTCCGACAATGGCGGAGAATATGAGGACACCAAATTCAAGAAGTTTTGCTACGAGCATGATATTAAGATGGAAAGAACTGTGCCAGGTACGCCTCAGCATAATGGCATAGCTGAGCGGATGAACCGAACATTGACAAAAAGAGCCAGAAGCATTCGTATACAGTCAGGTCTACCAAAACAATTCTGGGCAGAAGCAGTCAATACAGCAGCTTACTTGATCAATCGAGGACCATCAACCCCATTGGAGTACAAATTACCAGAGGAGGTATGGAGCGGCAAAGAGATCAAATTGTCGCACTTAAAGGTATTTGGTTGTGTAGCTTATGTGCACATTAGTGATCAAGGCAGAAATAAGCT